TACCAAGCAGTATCTCCAACATCACTCTTAGGTGACTCCTTCCTGGCCACTGTCCCCAGGAGACTGTACCTGGCTCCTTATGCTCTGTAAAAGGGGCAGGTCATGTTCATCTGCTCTTTTCTCCCCTAACAGAGGCAGCTTCTTCTTCTTCTTCTTCTTCTTCTTCTTCTTCTTCTTCTTCTTCTTCTTCTTCTTGATTCTTCTTGATTCTTCCTCTTCCTCCTCCTCCTCCTCCTCCTCCTTCTCTCTCTGTCTCTCTCTCTCCCTCTCTCCCCCTCTTTCTCTGTAGCTTCCTAAAAGAGCCCCCCAGTGGGGGAGGGGTCCTGGAGGAGCTGATCAGGAATCTACTCTTTTGGAGTAGGTTACCAACGGAGAATTTGAGGATTCATAGAGGAGAGAGCCAAATTCCCACCTGGCCTCTGCTCTCGGATTCTGAGAAGGGGCTTGTAAAGACACCTCCTGTGCTCCAGATACCAGCACAGTTCGTGCTCTTACCTGGTCACTCACAGTGTTTCCTGTTCTCCTTCCAGGCTCACACTTCTCCATCTCCATCGAGAAGGCACTGCCTGAGGACAGGGGCTTGTACAAATGTGTAGCCAAGAACAGTGCTGGCCAGGCGGAGTGTTCCTGCCAAGTCACTGTGGATGGTAAGTCATGCTTGCCCATTGCTACCACACACAGAGCTCATCTCTGGGCCCCTTCTACATCTGAATGACCCCCACCCCTCCACAAATTGTCCCCAGCCTTACTTCAGCATTCATTTGGTGAGACTTGAGCTACCTTAAAAAAAAAAAAAGTCAAGAAGGGAAGTGACAACCTCACCTTGATTACTTGATTGCCTACATGGCTTCTTCCTGTATCTCTAGCCAGGAAGAAGGGCTGTTGACCTTCTCCTCCCCTCCCAGTCCTGACCTCCACACCCAGAAACTTCTGGGCAAGGAAGCTGGGCACAAGGGCACCAACAAGAGAAAGGACACACCCACAGGAAAATGACTCCTAGTATTTGACAGACCACAGCAAACAAGTGTGTAGAATGCTGGTGTGCAGGCCACTGAGGGGCCTGGACCTGCGGCGGGAGCTGAGTGTGCAAGTCTGAGTGTGCAAGTGTCCTCCAGGAGAAGGTGAGTCAGGCCGAGGAGGGGGAGACAGGAGGACAGGGCTCCTTCTGCCAAAAGAAAACATGACAGTAAGACAGCAGAGAGAAAGGAGGAGAAGCAGGAGAGAGAGACCCATTAGGAGTAGGCAGCTCCCCAACCCAGGAAGGGGCAAGGCCCAGCAGGGTGTATGCATTTGTGTCTCTTTCCTCCCTCCGTCAGGAATGTGGAGCCTGGGAGTTGAAGGAACCTTGTGATAGTTTAACTAACACCCTCACTATTATCTCTCCTTGTCATCCAATTGGCATTAGAAATCAAACCCTACAAGGACCCTTGCAGGACCTTCAACCCAGTGCCTTTTCTTTTTGAACCCAGTGCCTTTTCTTTGTATTTTCATACTTGACTGGAAATGTCTAAAAAGGTAGTTTTGGGAAAACAGTTTCTTGCCCTGGAAATGCCTGCTTAATAACTGTCAGTAACATGTCAAAAGCTGGTGTCCAAATAAGGCATCTGGAAGATCAGCTTCGTTGTTCTGGCTCTTGAGTCTGATCGCTTTAGTCCTGAAATCCTAACCTGTTTTATAGCCATCCCACAAAATGGAGGGTCTTTGTCCTTGCTCTGGGTTTCATATCCCTCCTTCCTGGTCACAAAACAGAGATAGGGGTACATAATAAATGGGAGACAAGATGGGTTGTCTTCTAAAGGAAAGTGTCATTTGAAAACACACAATTGCAAAGGAAATTAAATAGTTCCTAGCCAAAAAAGAAGCTGATACGGCATGAGTAACCTAGGAATGACTTTCTAGGAATGACTTTCTCACAAGATCTGCCTCTGAGGAAGTAGATCTGATGGGTTAGGGTTCATGGTCAACTCATATGCATGCTCTGAGACTCCTGCATACTCCTGCTGTGTGTCACCTGCCTGCCAACACCTGCATACTCCTGCTGTGTGTCACCTGCCTGCCAACATGTTAGAGTTCTGCTGCTCTCTGTTCAGGTGGTGCCTCCCTGGAAGCTGATTTCTAACTGCCCCACTGGGGGCTTGGACAATTCCTCCCATCCATAAGTGGCCAACCTGCTAATGAGGTTATCTGCTTTTGAAACCCCTGGCCTCTTGAGCTATTTACACAGGGAGCTACAGGCAAGAGAGCAATTTGTTCTCCTTATCTGCACAATGTCAGCACCTTTTCCAGATTTGTTTGCAAAGGGCAATTTCCTTTTCCCTTGCACAACGTCTTCAGAAGGAGGCTTTGTTTGGTTTGGGGTTTTTTGTTTGTTTGTTTAGGAGACTCATTCATTCTGTAATTTAAGAGGCTCTGTTTGCTGAGGAGGTGTGCTGAAAGACACTTTGCTCTCTGATCCTGATCTAGAGGATAGCTATCCTTTCTCTCCAGTTCCTTGAAGTCAGAATTTGGCCCCTAGCTACAAAGTAGGATCTAGGATTTGGAAGCAGAACCAAAAGATGGGCAGGGGAGACACCATCTGAGAGAACAGAAATGACAGTTAATTGGACTTGGTCTGGTTTTGTGTGCAGAAAGGAAAAGGGGCAGCCTTCTTCCCCAGACTCACCCCTCATTTCCCTTGCTCTTGTACTTGGAGATGTGTCCATGCCATCTGTTAGATGAGCTGCTTGTCATACTTAGCTCTGTTTTCCCATGAGGAGCAGCTGCCAGGCAAACACTGAAGGTTAGCCCACTTTACGACAGCTTTCTGCCTCCTTTGGGTTGGTATTTTTGCCAAGCTAAGTGACCTCCTGTCTTTTTTCCTCTCAGCTTTTCCCACTTCCAGGACATGGCACTCAGAGATCTCAGTAGATTTGACCATCCTTTGCCACTGTCAGCGTCAGATATGTGTCTGTCAAGAGCATCTTTCTAAAAAGCGGGATCCATGGTTCAGTCAAATTCTCAAAAGTGTTGTTATATTATTATCACATTAGGTTATGAGTACTGGGGAGGCTGAGGCAACAGGATCACAAGTTTAGGACCAGCATAGGAGACTGTCTCAACAAAGAAAGATAAGGAAAAGGAGGAAGGAAGGGAGAAGACATTTGCCCTTAGGAGTTGCTAGCCATGGTTGAATTTTCATCACTGAGCTCTTCTAATCCATCTGCTATGGCTGCCTGCCTGATCACTGGTAGACCCAGTCATGCATCCCTTCTGGAGGACAATGAGGTCCCTCTCTACTGTGCTGACTTCTGGTTGGCTTTCCTGCTGTCACTCAGCAGAGCTGGCCATGCCCCCTGAAAGCCATTATCACTCATTCAGCCTGTGTCCCAAACCATTAAGTCTACACTATAAAGATAAATTTCAGGATTTCACAAACAGGAATCCTGTTAGGCACAGGTGGGTTCTGTTTCCTTCCTTCCTTCTTTTCTTCCCTCCCTCCTCCCTTCCTTTCTTTCCTCCTCCTCTTTTTTGTTTGTTGTTCAATACAGGGTTTCTCTGTTTAGCCCTAACTGTCCTGGAACTCACTCTCTATATAAGGCCGGCCTTAAACTCAGAGATCTTCCTGCCCCTGCCTCCACATTACCAGGATTAAATGCATGGCTTGGCAAGTATTCTGTTTCTTATAAGGCAGGAAGATTAACCTACAGAATACAGCATGTCTGACCAATAATAATAGCACTACTTGGGTCATTTTCCTATGAAAATGAGTATTTTTACCCTTTGTTAATTGTGGTCATATAGCTCTTCCTTCCAAACTAAGCAGAAGGTAGGTATCAACTTGTCCCACCCAGAAAGGTACTGAACTATGATAGGTAGAACTTGCCAAAACACTCACCCACAAGTAAAGTAGCTGACTTTTAATACCTGCTGTGGCTGGAGACTTTTGTACTTCATCTTTTCAGTTTCTGCAACAGAGGGTGGGCTACCTTTCTCAATGAGCAGAGGGGTCAGGGGTTCAGCAAAGATTGACAAGAAGCCCTACTCCAGGCTGAAGCCCCACCCAGTAAACTGCAATATACATTGTCCTGATAAAACTCAGTTGTGTCTGGTCCTGGGGCCTGCCAGACCTTTCCCAGATGATTCTGGTCAGGGAATTTGCCTGTCAAGACACTTGAGAGCCATGCAGTGGCGGCACACACCTTTAATCCCAGCACTCAGGAGGCAGAGGTGGGCAGATCCCTGAGTTCAAGGTCAACCTGGTCTACAGAATGAGTTTCAGGATAGCCAGGGCTATTACACAGAGAAACCCTGTCTCCATGCTCCCCTCCCTCCCCCGAAAAAAGACACTTCTGAGAGACCTTCACATCTATTATTGCCAGCATTCTGCTGTGAAGTCACTTCTACTCAAGGGACATTCATTCCTATGATTCCCTCCCAGCTCAGGCCTCCCTTCCTCAGGTACCATAGCCAAGGCATCCAGCCTTATTGTCAGGGAGAGTAGGGCTTCACAGCCACAAAAGATCATGCGTGTTTGTGTAGGGGGAGCATGTATCAGTGGCACCCATACCATCTTTCATTCATTCAACAAATATTTAGGTCTGCACCCTGCCAGGCACAGCTCAAGGAGCTGATGTTTAGACTTGACTTTTGTGTTTGTGTGTGTGTGTGTGTGTGTGTGTGTGTGTGTGTGTGTGTGTGTGATGTGATGTGGAGAAAGCATAGCCAGGTGATGGGGAAGGGACTATTGCTTCAAGAAAGGGTTGCTGAGGACTTTTGGTAGAATGAACATTTGAACAGAGACCTGCAAGAAGTGAGGGTAGGGGTTCTAGTAAGAGAAAAGAGGTGGCGGGGTGGGGGGAGCAAGAGAAAAAGCACAGTGAGACTGTGCTTGTTGGCAGTGTGGGAGGAAGAAGCAGGCTGGTGGGCCAAGCACCATGTGCAGAGTGCCAGAAGACAAGGCTAAAGAGGCCCAGGAACCAGGGCTGCAGAGCAGTATGGACTGAAACCGGAAACCAGGCTTTAGTCCAGTGTGTTGGGACAATACTGGATGCTTGTGAAGGCTCACTCAGGCATCTTCATGGTGAGCAGACCCAGGATGCATAAGGAAGAGAGCAAGGAGGCCAGCTGTGGGGCGTGATGGCATTTAGACTTGGTGGAGTCCATACAAGTGATGGGATTCGTCATCTGACTTGACAGGAGCTGCTGATGAACTGGGTCTGGAGAGTTGGAGAGGGGCCAGTACTCCTACTCGTTACATCTAGGCTTCCATGGAGAAGTAAGGGTCAGTGGTGATGCTACCTACTTACACCAAAACTTGGAGCCTGGGGAACCATCAAAAGGGGAACCTTCAAAAGTGACATGCATATAAAGATAAAAATGCCCAGGAGACAGTGTCAGAGATGTGTCACATGGACAGTTTAGATGAATCTGGAGCTGAGGAACTGAGGACAGAACATAGGATAGAACCCACATGTAGAGACCACTGAGTGCCTTGCGATTGAATGAGCTCCTGTAGTAGATGTGACTGACGGTAAGACCAGAGAGAGATGAGAGTACGGCACTGAGAGGCAGAGGCAGCTTGGGGGTCTGTAAAGGATACTGGGATGAATGGCACCAAGAAGAGAGAAAGAAGTCTGGGAGAGAGAGAGCCAGGAAGCCAAATGGTCAGGATTCTAGACAGACAAGAATGACCAGTGAGTCCAATGCTGCCACTGAGACAGCTCTGTCTGACTGACGACCATTAGAAAGAACAATGTAGAGATCAGTAGTGACCTTGACAACAGGGATTCAGAAGAGTGATAGTAATATCAGCCTGTTTAATACCTAGAGACACAGTCACCTGCTCAGGCCACCCTCACTAGTTGGATGAGAATCTAAACCCAAGCACTGGCTCCCAACCACTGTGCTTAGCCGGCTGCTCCTGAGTAGACCCTGACCTGGCATGATCTGAGTCCCGGCATGTTCCTAACCCTCTCCTGCATTCACATTTAATGTTTAAATCTTCACGAGCAGCTAGTTGGTAGTAGGTTGAACTGAATCAAACTGCTGTTTTTATAGCTCCAAAAACACTTAAATAGCCTGAGACCAGAGGATTGTGTTGTATTTAAGATTAGCCTGGGCTGTGTGGCAAGTTCCAGCCAACCTGGGCTGCAGGATGACAATTTGTCTCCAAAATAAGGAAAGGGAGAGAGGGAGGAAAGGAGGAAGAGAAGAGGAAGGGAGGGAAGGAGGGAGGGATGTTTAAACATTGTTAAGTGTTGTGGTGAACACAAGAAGGCCACAGGGAGATGTATGTGTGGAATAAATACCTAGTAAATGCCATCTGTGATTTCACTTTAATATTTATTTGGGGTCCCAGGCCATGAAATAGAGTATTGTGGAGCTCAGAGGACAATTTTCAGGGGTCATTTCTTTCCTCCCACTATGTGGGCCCCAGGGATTAAACTCAGATCACCAGGCTTGGCAACAAGTGCTTTTACCCACTGAGCCATCTCTCTGGCTCCTCACCTGTTATTTGCTACCCACTTCTTCGCTCTTCCAGGAGATGTTTTTCCTAACTAGGAAGGTTCTCTTCTCATAGTTTAGGAGCTCATCCAAGGGCTCATCACCACTAAACAACACAGCCAGAAAAGAGTTCACATTTCCCCAACCTAGCAGAATTTTGTGTGCTAGAATGCTGCTTGCTCTTAGGCAGAGAGGCCATCGAGAAATGAGCCATCCCAGGAGACGTGGGAAACCAGCCCCTGCTTTGCCCTTCCTGAGGCTCCTGAAGTTCAGACCCTCTCCCAGAAGTTTCCCAAAGCCTCCTCCTCCTTTGCCTAGGGTCAGAGTCCAGGGATCCAACCTCTTTGCGGGGGATGGAGGGAAGTATCCAGGGGCCTGAGTCCAGCAGTAGAAGGGGTGAGGCATTGTCCATGTAAGGGCAGATCTCCTGATCTCTTTAGGAGCCCCTACTTTTCCACACCTCTATCTTCTACCCCCACACTTTTTTTAGGGGAACAACCAGGTCAGCAAAGGACACCAGCCCTGGGGCCCAGATCTAGAAATAAAACCCAGTTTCATCACAAAATGATTAAAATAGACAGAAAATACAAGCTGCTCTTAAACTTTTATTACTATTATTTTTATCCCCCGGGCAGCATGTGTGCACAAAGCTGGTTTTGATTAAGCATGTGGTCCTCCCAGCCCATTCCTCACTGCGGTTCTCACAGTGGCCAGGCAGCTCTGTATTCCTGGCTGGGCTACATGCTGCACGCACAGCCCCCACATTACTGGCACTTTAGAGGGTGCTGCCCTCCCCCACCCCACTCCCCTGGGCCTCTGGGTTTGGGATAGGCCTGGTTTGAAAGGGAAAGACGATCCCTTTTATTCAGGGCCTGATGAGAAGATAAATTGCAGTGAGCGGAGCTTCTCAAAACCAGCTCAGTATGCACTCTAGGTGAAGTGCTCACACTTGTAATGAACCCACGGTGCCCCAGAGCTGAGGGCACTGCAGGGGTGGGCAGAGCTGGTAGACAGCTTTCTGAGGCGAGAGGATACTAAAGCCCAGTAGAAGAAGGTGAGGGAACATGGCTAACAAAAAGAATGAGTTTATTTAAGTAAATGGTGCTTTTGATCTCTCCAAAATACCAACTTATGCCTTGCCTTCTCTGGGCTTTGGGATGCAGTGAGCTCGAAAAGATAAAAGTTCTCTTTCTACAGCTATGGAAGCAGACATGGGGCAGTTTAAATGATTCGTCCAAGTCCTGAAGGGTGCCAATGACACAGACAAAATGCACCAAAGTAGCAACTAGCATGACCCACGAGGAAAGGCATCCACAGGCCCTCACTGCCCTCTTTCAGAGGCCAGAAAAACTGGACCCATCACCCTTGCTTGCTTGTGCCACAGCTGACATGTCAGAAAAAGGACTTTGATTCTCTTTCCCAGATTCCTCTCTGCTCTGGAACTTACCAGGAGAAAATGAAAGCTGAATCAGGAATTCAGTACTACGTACACACACTTGTCATTCACCTCTCTCCTGGGAAGGGGAGGGCAAGGCATTTCTGAGTGCATCTCTATTTAAAGTCCCAGGGGTCTTTCTGTTCCTCCAATGTGTCCACATGAAACTGGTGCCTTGAGGTGTGGGCAGCAACTTGTGACCTTGTCAGCTCCACATGACAAGAAGCCTGAACTCACTGTCTGAGGTTCCTTTGTTCTTTGCTCTTAAGGAGGTGGCAGAACATGGGCATTGCACAGTGGAGGAGGCAGCAGGGTATGGCTTGGGGTTTCAAGTCTGTTTAAGAGGATTTCTTCAACCTTTGTTCTTTACGTTCATCCCCTCATATACTGCTAGAAAATCCTAATTCAAGCTTAAATGGAGCCATTTCCATCGTTGTGTGCACATGGTTTTTGGTTGTCTTCAACAGGGAATTGACTTTGATATCCCTCAGCTGCCACCTGACTGAGCCTGTATTGTGCCCACATGCAGTCTCTGTCACTGGATTACCCAGCTCCTAGAGGACAGGCATGTGGTGGAGGAAGGCTACATAAGCAAGACAGTAGAAGGGGCCGTGTAGGCAGATGCACACTCTAGAGCATGCAAGGGACCCAGATACCATCTAGGAGAAATGCAACCAGGAATTAGGAAGTGTATGTCCTGACCCCAGCAGTCTATGTTCCTAGTACCACCCCTCACAGGGAACCCAGTCTAGGCAAGACCAGCTGAGAGGTGCCCAACCTAGAGTCAGGGATAGCCTGTTAGCCCTTCTTCTCCAGCCAAGCCACAGGAATGTGGCCAGAGCCCTGGCTGGAAAATCCCCTCCTCCCTCTGAGCTTCCTCCTTGGGAGCAGGAAATGAAGGATAAGGGCAGGAAGGGACGTAGGGGGAGGTGCCTTCCATCCTCTCCCCAAAGAGTAGTGAAAACATAAGCCTGGCCATGGCCATTCAGCCACCGGTTTCTTATCTAAGTCCCAGGTGGTTTCCCCATAAAGTTTGAAAATCCAGTCTCATGGGAACCCAGGGAGAGCCTTTTCTGCCCTGCTCCACCCAGCCCACAGAGTGCTGTTCACCTCTGTCCACAGAGAGAGTGTATACTTGCCCCCCCTCCCCAGCATTGTCTGAGCTTGCTGCCCAGCCTCAGCCAATGGCCACTGCAGGGATTCACAGACCTGCCATGAGGGTGTACTACAGATGACCAGCCTTGGTCTCCCAGACAAAACCAGTGAAGGGCTCTGAAACCTTCATCTGGCCAGGCCTGCCCCAGTGCCAAAGCAAGTCTCAGAAACCAAAGGCCACAGACATCTTTTCATCCATGAACCCAAAGGCAGGGAGGGGCCCAGCCTTCTTCCTCTTCAGGAGACCCTTCCATTTTCAGAGAGCCTTTGAGATGCAGGACGTTTAGATAAGAGCATCAAGGCACGATGTGGGTAAGGCAAGCAAAGGGCACTGAAGGCATAGGCTCTACTGAATGGCCTTAGTCCTGACAGTCTCTGCTGCTACAGCAGGGAGCAGCAACTAGCTCCCTAGCCTGGCCATCCATCCTGCTGGGTGACTGTCCCAGCCACCTGATTTATCAGGGCCATTCAGTGGGCGCTCCTTCTTTGGTGCTCCCCTGGAGGAAGGGCCTGCTGCAGGCGCCACTCTGTGCTGCAGGCGGGCACAGAGGGCCTCTGAGTGGAATGTAGGGTGGGGGGGGCCAACTAGGGTCAAGATAGGGTTCTGACTGGGGTGCTTCTTAGACAGCTGCTGACTGATGTTTGTGTTCCTTTTGTTTGTTCCAGATGCTCGGACCGGTGAGAACACCAAGGTCCCGGAGATGAAATCCCGGAGACCCAAGAGCTCTCTTCCCCCTCTGCTAGGAACAGAGAGTAAGTGCCTCTCAGCTTCACCATACAAAGGCAGGAGTGCTGGCACACCTCCCTGACAGCTATTCCATAGAGAGCTCCTCACTGATCCTGGGGAGCTCCATATCCTTTCCTTTCTCATGCTGTTGCAGCTCTATCCTGAACTCCTTGAGGACAAGCTGCCCATCCCCCAGAGTTCCTTATGTCCTCCCGATTCCTGAGCCCATTACCTTTTCTCACCCCCTGCCAGTCTCTCTCCACCCCATCTACAGCCTAGGGCTATTACATGTGCTCTTTGTCTTCCTAACCACAACCCTCTATACCTCCTGCATCACTTTTTGGTTGTCACTTAGACCCCTGTGGGAACTGTTCCTCATCTTTTAGTTGATTCTGTCCTATCAAGGGAACCTGTCCTTATGACATCAGCAGAAACATCCAGTGGTCCCAGGGCCTACAGACAAGTGAGCCTCTCATGTGTTCCTGCCCTGGAGAAACATACTTCCTGCATGTGCGCCCTGACTGCCCCCTCCCTGACAGCTATTCCATAGAGAGCTCCTCACTGATCCTGGGGAGCTCCATATCCTTTCCTTTCTCATGCTGTTGCAGCTTTCGAGAAAACTCCCACTAAAGCCATCTCAGGAACTTTCCAGAACATCTAACTCCCATCTTGACTGACTATGTACCTGTATGTCCTTGTATGTTCCCTGAAGGCCAACCCGGCACTCAGGATGACATATTGTGTCCATGGAAGGACCTCACTAGTGTCTTTCAGAGTCAGATTTCAGTGTATTAGAAAAAGGCATGGAGAAAGGGCACAGGTATAACCTAAAATGTACATGACTGCCTCCCTCTTTCTAGATCTGGGCTTCCCCGGTGACCAGCATCTCTATTAGACAGGTGCTTAGGGTACAAGCTGCTTTCATGCCCATAAAACTGCAAAAAAGAAAAAATTGAATTGTTTCAAAATAGTATTTGAAATGCATAAAAATAATTTACTCATCTTTATACCAGAACAGTTGTAAAACATAACCTACATAATCAAAATATAATACCTATTAAATAAAATTATCTAATGATATTCACAGAAGTTCCTTAAGCCCTCAAAAGCCATAATGCAGCCCTGTCTTCCTCTGTGATTATGGGTGTGGTTTTTATTAGGAGAACTACCTTGTGACAGTTCCAGTTTTATAGGGCACAGAGTTGCTTGGACATCCCCAGAACACTCAGGCATGGTGCATACTTGTAATATTTGAGAAGCTGAGGTGAGGCCAGCCTGGGCTACATAGTGAATTCTATGCCAACCTGGGATACAGAGTGAGTCTCTCAAAAAAAGTAAAATTAAAAAAGCAAAACGGAAAACAAAAACAGAAGATAAGCTTTCACTTCTACTAGCAAAGGGAAGCAACCGGGCCTCATTGTTCCAAAGATCACTTTTCTTTCCATTATAAGGCAGTGTTTTATGGCTGCTTTATTCTTTCTTTTGTAAAGCCATGTGTTTGCCTTGCTGCTTCTGAGCTCTTGGAACACAGCTAATCGGACTAAAGGGTCAGAGGTCCTCAGCCTTTGTGGTGGGGTAGCCAAAGTGAAGTTATAATTTCTCTTAGATGTTTACACAAAGTGAGATCCACTCAGACAGTGGAGGAGCCAGGACTGTTCCAAGTAGACTTTAATAAGCTGTTAAAACCCAGGAACAGTCAAACGGACCTAGGAGGAATGAGTTAGTAGTGTTATTCCCCAAAATTGTTGCCTGCATCCTGCTGTGCTAACTATGGGAAAACATGAACAAATGAAGTGTTGCCCTTAGAAAAACAGCCTGGACTGTGACACAGGCAGTGATGAGGTGGCTCACCTGACAGGGACAGAGGTCCATCACCCCGTCTTCAGGTCTGGAACCCATTCTGTGAAATCCTGAGGAGGGTGAGGCAGGGTCAGAGCAGAACTGTGGAGGAGAAAAACAAGTGCAGTGAGGCCTTCAGACAATGAACAGACCTAGCACTGGGCGCTTTGCCCTGCAGAGCAGGAGGCCTTGGAAAACCCCAACCAACTTGCCATCATCACACTCTGGAGTCCTAGATGGCAGCTATAGCTGTGTATTAGATTCACCTGTAGAACTTGGAAACCACCATGCCCAGGCTGCCCCCAGACCAATTAAACAGAAACTCAAGGGTGGCGGCTGGGATTCCATGTTTGTTTATGTTCCTAGATCCTTCCAGTGTGTGGCCATACTAAAAATCTGCCTTTCCGTAGGAGCTGTTCCTGCTATCCATGGTTGGTTCAGAGCAGAAGCGGGTAGGCCTGATGCCTTTGGGAAGTGTGTAGTCATCCAGGAGCCCTCCCACTAGGGCTCTGAGAACAAGACACCCTGTGGAGGCAGCCTTAAAGGGGGAGGGTGTAGAGTAGGGCTGGCAGGAAGTGTTTGGACTCCATGGAAAACACAGGCACCACAGAATTAACCCCACCCACCTGTCTGCAAAGGGTGCTTCCCTCCTCTGTGGTCCAGTGATGGACATCTCACCCCATGCACCCTGATGGCCTCTTTGCCTCCCTGTGCTGTCTTGTCTACTCAGTCCCCACCACCCTAAGCCTATTGTCACTCTGTGCATTGGGTTTGGCTTTGGTTGCTCCTCCACAGGCATACTTGTCCCTTAGAAACCTGTATACCAGAGGCCTGAGGTTGGTCCTTGGAGCCTTCTGACAAGGTGACTGCTCCCAGGGACAGAAAGTAAAAGTGGTGTCTATTAGGTCTGTGTCCCCAATTCTTTTATTCTTTGGGGGTATAATTTGTCTAGTAATTGCTTAAGTTATATGTATATGCATTCTCATTTGAGCATTTAAAAACATACAGGAATATACCAAGTACAATGTGAAAATCCTCTTCTATCCCCTATTTCATTCATAACACTCATTTGAGTTTTTTTCTATGCACTTTATATGTGTGTTAATACACAAACACCTCAGTGGCAAGAGTTTTCCCTCCCTGCAGAAATGGAATCTGACATGTGGTCCGTATGCTCTCATCACATGTCATATCTGTTAGCATTGTTATCCTCATTCCCAGACATGTTGGATTCCATGAGCGGTCTTTCTGTGGACATATGTATGGTTTTGTCAAGACTGTGAAGTACCTCATCTAAGGAGGAAATCCATCTTTCTGAGGAAAGGGAGAGTGACTTTCCTGTCAAACAGAGAATAGCCAGACCCCTCTCTGTGCACTCTCCTGTCCCCCGGGATGGTTTATTCCTATGAGCCAGCTGTTGGGTGTAGGAGTGGACAGTGTTGACCAAGCTTGCCAGGGAGCCCCCAAGCCTCATTGTAGCATGAGGAAGAAGCCAGGCACTCTACCCCCAGTCCCCCATGACTAAAGTACTTGTTAACCTGCCAGTCACCCAAATCACAAGCCATAAACATGGGAGGAAGTTTGGGAGGGTTTGAGGTGAGGAAAAGTCAAAACCAGGTTTTGAAGGAGGGAGAGGAATGCAGTTTATGTGGTTTGAAGAAGAATGAGAACATTGGCGGGGGAGGAGAGGCAGGAGGGAGCCTGGGGGAGAACCTGCAGATGCTGGAGGCAAAGTGGGGAGGACAGCTGAGTCAAACAGAACCTGTGTTCTGAGTGCAGACAGGCACCATGTCAGGAACTCCTTCAATAGGACTGGAGCTAAGCCACGTGACCTTACAAGTTCTGCTTGCTCCCATTTCATAGGGAAGCAAAACTGAGCCTTGGAGATGAAACTGTCCTGCCTAGCATCTCCAAGCTGGTAAGGAATGGAACTGTGGTGGTCTGTGTTCCTGCCACACTCCCTTCTAACTTGCTGTAGACTCGGGCTTGCTCCACATTGACCACACAAACACAAAGGCTAACAGTTCTTTCCCAGGCCCACAGTGGATTCAGGAGGAGGTGGGGTGGCAGAGGTGTCATCAGGACCATTGGAGCCCAGAAGTAGACAAAGGAAAGGCACTGGCATCCAGGTCCCTGGATCTAGAGACCTGTTGGTGTGTTTGCTGCATGCCCCTTGGTGGGATTTTTAAAATAGCCATTTTGATAACATTTCAAAGTTACAGAAAAAGTATAAGAACAGTGCAAAGAATTCTGTATTCCTTTTACTGAAGAGTCACAGTTGTTTTCATTTTTATCCCACAGTTTTATCATTCTCTGTGTATGAACTTATAATTTTCATTTAGCTAGATAACATTTTAAATCAGAATCATCATACCTTTAATTTCTTACTCATTGTCATTATTTATTATGTGTTACTTGTTCTTGTCTCATTTACTTACTCTCCTAAGAATATAACCACAATGTAACTGGTGGAATCAGAGAAGTTGACACTTAACCAATTTTGCTATCTAATCCATCCATAGTCTACCCTCCTGCATTTTGTCACTTGGCCCAATAATGTCTCTTATGATTATTTTCTCTTCTTGATGAAAATCTAATATCAACATCCCTGGGTTGGTTACTTTATCTACTCCCTCAGCACAGAAGTAACTCCTCTTCTTGTTTTGGAAATAAAATGGGTAAAGTGTGCCGGCCCAAGGAGAAGCACTTTGGTCTCTGCCTTTGCTGAGTTTGCAACTGAGACACAGGCACACCTCAGTGAACCTCCATGGGTCCCGAGGTTGGCTTGTTATGATCACTTCCAGGGAATTGCTCAGACGTGAGGCATAGCAAGAAAGCTATGGGTATGTTCCTTTAGAACATGGTTTCCTCAGCATCCAATGAACACCTTCCATGGCTTGTCTCGATTTTGTCTAGCTAGGACATCAGGACACTGATTGGGAGTTGTGAGGGACACAGTTCAGGTGAAGCTGGTTATCTGAAGCTACAGAATCAAATCTGGGGTCACACAGTGATGGAAGCATCCTGCAGGGAAGGTGGCCTGGAGCCTAAAGCCCAACTTTGGGGTGCTCCTACTGGAGGGGATCTCATTAGCCAGTGGAATTCTTGGGAGTTTTATGCAGAAGAAGGCAAGCATATTGCTTGAAGGATGGGGCCATAGGGCTTAGAAAATGGTTTTAGAAAAATG